CCTATATAAAGATATACACAGACTGCCGCTGGTATGGGTAACTTTTTTGTAATGTCAAATATATCAATGGGGTGCAATTTCACAGAGTTGATATATTACCGTCAATTGGGTTATTTTGGTTGCAGTTTTATTTTGGTTTATTTGGTGCCTCCAATGAAAGTGCCAAAATTAAACACACGAAAATAAAGCAAAACACTAAAAATCATGAAAATTGAAACGCCAAAATCACAGACCGGTACGAAAGTATCTTTATGTTAATTTTGTGGAAAATATCTTATGCTATTATATCTTCCGTATATTTTCTATATTCTACACATAACCAAATCTGATTATAATTTGATAACAATATATAATTTTTTACTTAATTCTCAATTTTCTGAAATTGTTAAGAAAACACAACATGAATTTGTATTCACACATGTCATAAATATGCTAGGCTATTGCTGATTAGACGCCGTTTTTGGTAATGAGAATATCTAAACCAGGGCTTCCAAAATTATTTTTAGCCAGCCGGACATTTTATTTATTATCCCGATTTTAATCCCTTAAGACTAAATAAACAAAAGGCAATTATGGTAATCAGTTGCCGAGTTGGCCATTCCAATGATTGACATTAAAAAAAACAATATTAAATTTTCTTTGATTCAAATTCGAAGTTCTGACGTAAACTGGTAGTCCATCATTCGAAGTGTGCAACATCAGCGTACTTATATCTGCCTTAGACTCTTTATTTGTGCAAAATAATGTTGTCAAAAACTTTACTTTCGTTTTTATACCGGATGTTATCTTGACAATGGTAAAACATGGACCAGAAACGGATACGTAAATTCCGTGTACGTTTGCAAAGCGTGAATGAGTGGAAGTAGCTCTTTCTACGTTATTTTTTCTAGAAAATATTCGAAATTAACGTGAGATAAAGGTATCAATGACAATTTAAGCATTTTTTGAAGAAATTAGGATGCATAATTACATTTCACACCTGCGCACATGTGTACTAGTTCAAACAGAGACATGTCTCTAGGTTCAAACAACGTGGTTATGATGATTTTTCATTTTCACCTTTCTAATTTTTTCATCAAATCATATTTGTAAACGTATTTCTGATAATTTAAATCTTTTTGACTATATTAATTAGATGCAAACCGCTGAAATGTAAGAAAATAACTTTGAATAGACCGATCAATGTCCGGTTCAAAATAGTTTACCTGTCACCTGAACAGGTAAATTTCAGCTGTTTGACAACGAATTAGCCTTGATTAAAATGAGAAGGTATTAAAGTAGGGGTTGATTTGATAGTACTTAATGATCATGTCACTTTTATGACCGGAAATGTGTGGCTGTTAAAGGCAAAACATTGGGTCAAAAAGATCGCGAATTATGTTAAAATGACCGTCTCTTAAAGCCTTGAAAACTAAAAAGTAGATGACCGTTTCATGCTTTGCACAGCCGGACTTTTACTGGACATTATACAAATGTCCGGCATATATGACCATTTTGGAAGCCTTGATCTAAAACCCTTGTAATACTTTTAATTAATTAACATGTACTGCCAGAGGCATACGGATTAAAATCTAAATCCTTGATCGTCAATCATTAACTTGTACTGAAATAGAGATAATGATTAAAATTTATTTCATATGATTTTGGTAAAAAATAAATAATCCATTTAAAATCACTTCCTTTAAGCTTTCAACCGCGAGATAACGGAATTATTTGCATTTGCATTCGTAGCCGATTCCTTCATTTAGTCAACCTTGTCGTGTTTCTAGTTTATGTAGGTCATTGATATTTTGACATAAACGCAAACGGGTAAATAAGAGCAAATATGAATGAGCTCGCACACTTCTATTTTTCCAAAATTAAACACACCAATTAGACGAAGCACCAAAATTACACACACCAAAATAAAACACATACCTTTCGAGTGAAAACTGCCAAAATATCCCGACGCCAAAATTTCCCAATTTACGGTATATCAATAGGTAGAAATTTACATGTCAACGGGTCATACATATTCATCTCCTGTTAATATGTCTGTAAAATCTGTGATCTGATTTTTTTATCTCGTAATATGAATCACGGATCCTATGTGGTTAACATCTCATTGAAATGATAGCTTTGAAATATATATATAAATGGGTTGTGATTTTCTTATGAAATATGAGAATGGGAGGTGTTTTTCAAACCCCAGCCGAACGTCTGTACCCCAATTTGTAGGTTGAGACCCCACCCCTAGTGCCTAAGGTAACTATATTTCTTTTGATTTATCATAACAATTGACCATCCCGACTCTTATTCTAAAACTATGCTTTAGATTTTGGTTTAAAAAAAGAATGAAGACTGCAATTGTTGCAAATGTTTTATAAATCATTATAACATTGTGCAAAAGATATTATCGTTTGACAAATGGAGCATTTCTGTTTGAAGTTGCTCATTCTTAAGTTGCATGTCTATGTTGTGTTTTGAATACCAACACTCAATTTAGTCTACTGAAATGGTCGCCAGGGCGACTTTAAAAGCTGATTGGCGACCAAAAATTCATAACTGGTCGCCATTTAGGCTATTAGAATATTGAAAATCTGGCGACCGTAAATTTTCAGAAATTTTGCCCTGGTCAGAGTCGGGTTTTAAAAAATCATCTGAGCGCTTGACAGTAACACAAATTTATTCTGTATTTCAAGCGCCTTTTAGATTTAAGCTTGATCCTGTCAGTGCTTTATTGCATCAGGTAATTGTAGTTCATTTGTAAGCAATTTGTTGTCGTTGACTGAAAATGGCACAGTTACTGCTGACAGGATTTATATCTATCTATCTTCATATTTCCGCACTCAGTCACAACTTTGACTATTACGTGCCGTTTGAAAGAAAACCATTGGCATTTATAGATTGTGTTTATTGAACATTGTTGAAAGCACATGATCGAGCCTCGTTCACGATTTCGTCAGTAAACGGAATGAAACAAGGTCAGCGACAATTTTGTAACTTGTTCTCATAGATTCAATGAAATACCGGCTACAATTTCTCAAACAATTTCAGATGTTCACTTAACCGATCGGGCAATCACTAGTGCTTCTGCACAAGTCCGATGAGATTTTTACTAGACTGGGGCTTCAAGCTACCGCTTAACGTTGCAGACTGTAATTTACAATATGCACAATAAATTAAATAAATCATGTGGTTATTTTACAGTTGATTTATACAAACTATTTTCTACACTCTACAGCATAAAAACACAGAACAAAAACTTAATACTTTTATTTCACAAGGGTTGTTTTATGTTTAGCTAGAAAAAAAATGTAGGCAACCTGAAATTATTTCCTGGCCACTGAAATTTTGAGTTGGCCACTAAATTTTCATGTCTGGTGGCCAGTTGGCAACTTCATTTCAGAAGCTACTTTGAGGGCTGAATACTGTTGGTATCTTTTGCCTCTCTTTTGCATTTGTTGTACATGTTGTATATATATATAGTCTTCTACAAGTTGTAAATGTATAAAAAGTCTGATAAATACAAATATCCAATTACCATAAATGTTATATGGACTTGGTGTAACAGTAAATCATGATCTCTATGAGTTTGATTATATATAATATAATTTTGGAATATGTGCTTGGATCTTTAAAAAAATAAACATAATCTTCCAATTGAAAATACAAATTCTAAGTTAATTGTCTTAGGAATAAGAAACAGAAACTTGTACACTGTCACTGAAAGAATTTTATTAACATGTACACAGTACATGATGTATGAGGAGGGGTAGGACCTTTATCGGGACTCCGAGATCAGGTGTTTTTAAGCTCGGGATTTCAGATTGATCCTTTCGGGATCCGGGAATTCTTTTTCGAATTTCGGGATGTCCGAGGATTTTTTTTTTTTAAATTCAGGATCTCGGGATTCCATGTATTTAAGCCCGGGATTTCGGGATCAGGACCCCTCCTACCCCCCCAAACAAAGTTTGGAGTGGAACCGTTAAGGTTCATCTATACACTTTAACAAAAATGGCTGTGTTTACACCATGAAATTTTCTCTGAGTACAGACAAAACTGTGTAATTTTAAAAGTTTTAATGCCTGGCAGCACCTAGATAAATTAATGGTACATCCAATTTATGTTCTAAAAAGTTAAAACACTTTAGGGATTTTGATGAACATTTTCTTTCCTTGCCACAGAAGATGGAGAAATTATTATTAAAACAAACACCTGAGTTTTCTTTGATACAGTCCACTCATTTACACTATTTAAATCACCTTTGTTGTGAGTAGATTTCTATTGTCCCTCTATTGTCCATATCAATCAATATGATACAATACAATCATTACCTGAGCATGCTGAGGGGGACCATCTCAAAGATTTCACATGACTTTGTTTATTTTACACCACCTGTGGCAAGGAAAGAAAATGTTTAGCAAAATCCACAAAACTAAACTTAAGACTGGATTGGCCACAAATGTAGCTTTATAAGGGGGTCCAGGCACCTTGTTCCCCCTACCCCTAAATCTGCCTCTGATGTCTGTTATTTTCATCTGACAAACAACTAAAATTACTTGCAAACTTGTTACATTTTCAGAAAAAATTTGATTAATCAAAGATAACTCTAGAGACATCTATTTTCGGCGGGAAATATTCTCTCTAGACTTTTCATATTGAGAAAATTTAATTAATAATTGCACATTTCAGTAATCTATTTTCCAGTGTTCCTCAACTGTGTTCGATTGAAAATGATATCAACTCTTTATACAATTTAAAAAAATTGAAACGTATCACTGTTAATCAGCTTGATATGCTTATGCAATTTCGAGTACCCTGTAAAGTGGTCATTCAGACTTGTGAATTATACAACTTTTTCATATCAAGTTAACTGTGCAACATATGTTTAAATATGTTTATGTTTATAATGAACAAAGATATTTGTAAGATGTTTCATCCATTATTTTTTGCTTGTATAAATATCTATATATATAGTTTCCAGAAATTTCTTTGCTCAATAAAATCAGCACTATACATGACAAAGACCTTTGAACCCGACCAATCAACATTAGCTTTACAATTGCATAAACGTCATTTCAAGGAGAAACGACAACAAATCACACGTGCGAACATCGAGAACGCAACAAATTAAAAATGCCAAGAAGAGGAAGATCAGCTCCAGCTCCAAGGTACTTTACACAAATTCCTGTCAAAAAATGTTTCATTGAGTTGACAAAACGACCATTAATGTGCTACTTTTTGTTAAAAAATTTGAGGTGTTATTCAACAAATTATGACCTTACTGGCTTACATAAGCAATTTGATAACTAACGAGGTAGCTGATGAAATAAAAATAAAATATTGTAGATATGCGGTTTTAAATACAGAGACTTCCATATCCGTTTTTTAAAAGATTATCAAATTGCAAATGCTTTCTTGTTTTCCAGGTTGGGGGACAAACTTTTCCTATTCCAAATATTCATGAGTCTTGAAATGTAAAATAAAAATAAGGAGATCCGAGATGTGGTATGATTGCCAATGAGACACTTTCCATCAAAGATCAAATGAAATAGATGTAAGCAATTATACATGTAGGCAACAAATGAACAAAACCTATACTGTATACATTTGTAGTAATATTTATTAGTAGGCTTTTAAAAAATCTAACATCATGGACATGAAAGATATGAAACGATTCAATTGATAAAATTAAGGCGTTATTTATAACAAAACAATTCACAAAAAGCAATTATCATGATTATGAAAGAAATGAATCAACAACACTACTGAACCTCAGGGTCCATTCTTGGGTACGGCCCATAAAGAATGTGGCTGGGTTAAACATGTTTGATTCAAAGCAGAAAAACACAATGTAAAACTGAATCTATCTGAAACTTAGTAGACTTTTTGTAATAAAAAATAAACATGCTTTCATCAATTTTGATTATATTATATTCAGCTATTTATCAAATTTCACATCTATGTTTTAATCTATACAGAATTGCAATGTACATGTATCATTGAAATTTGATGAAACCAATTTTACTACAAATTCTCTGCCATCTTGTGTTTTACTTCACTCGACTTAACCATTGTTAACCTTCAAAGAATGAGATGAACTAAACTTAAATTAAAAGGTCAAAATGAGTAACTAGTACTCCTACCAAAATAAAGAAACACAGGAAACTTTTGTGTCTACTTCTAAAGACAGGGTTACAATTCTAACCCATAACTCAAAATGGTGCAATCCTTCATTAATTATTTATGTATAATGAGTTTATTCCTTCCTACATGTACATGTACAATGTACAAACAAAATGTATGAAACTGATTTCCTGATAATGAAGAATGAATTTCTCTTAAAATTGATAATATCAAAAAATAAATATACTTCATACTACATGTACAAGTATTTCAATGTAAACAATTATTTTGTTCTAAAAGTTAATTTTGAACTATATATATATGCTATATATATACACATGAATCGATATAGGATATATATAATCAGCAATAGAATTGGAACAATTGAATATATACTTTTTAGGTCAAATGAACATTTATATCTTTTATTTTTTTATAATATTTAGACGTCCAGCTCCAAGTCGTTTGCCTGCTAGAGCACCACCAGCGGCACCAGCTCATCCTCCAGCAGCTCAACCCAGACAACCAGGATTGATGGCACAAATGGCTACTACAGCAGCTGGAGTAGCTGTTGGCTCTGCAGTGGTAGGTACAAAATGTATTTCTTACAAAATTACAATATTTAAATCATTAAACAATGTGTAAATCATCCACAAAGCTGTGGTCATCTCATGATGTATACAGATAATCATTTACCAAATCATAATAAAAATTGTTTGATTGAAACTTAATATAAAAGAATAAGACAGACACCTGACCAATTTCTGTAAATCCAAATCAAAATATATGTGTGGTTCCAGTTACCTGACAGACCCTAGTTTAAACCCCAGACCCTAGAACTTTTTTTTGCATTTCTGAAAAATAAATTTTGAACGATCTCATTTTGTGAATGGGGAACTCCAATGATTAATTCACAGACTTCTGTCATCTGAATTTCCATTAGAAGTATCCACTACCGCTAAAATGCAATAAATTCTTAACAGAATGCAACAAAATTAACTAAAAACAGAACATATAAATAAGATGATGTGGTATGAGTGCCAGTGAGACAACTCTCCATCCATTAGTCACAATGTGTAAAAAGTAAACAATTATAGGTTAAAGTACGACCTTCAACACGGCGCCTTGGCTCACACCGAACAACAAGCTATAAAGGGCCCCTAGTGTTAAACAATTCAAACAGGAAAACCAACAGTCTAATCTATATAAAAAATATATTTTTACAACCAAACACTGAAACATATAAAAAAATTTGTGAACTTTCAGAAGGGGGCTTGTATAATACATGTACCTGAACCAGACTTGGTGAAACAAAAATCTTCTCTGAAACTACTGTGTCAAATTCAACCAAACTTGGCCACAATCATCATTAGGTATCTAGTTTAAAAACTGTGTCTAATGACCCCGCCTTCCAACCAAGATGGCCAACATGGCTAAATATAGAACATAGGGGTAAAATGCAAGTTTTATCTAATATTTTGAAAACCGTTATAAATAGAGAAAATCTGACAGGAGTAAAAATGTTCAGAATGTTGAGCTCTACCAATTGTCCATATACCTCAAAACTGTCAGACAACTTCTTAGAGGAGTTATTGCCCTTATATGAAGAATTTTACCTTTTTTTTTTCATTTATCTTGAAATCATGATAGATATCTTTAGAAATAGAGAGAAACGTTAAATTTCAAAAATGATCAGCAAGACAAGTTCTACAAATAAGACTACATGTTAGAAATACAAAAATAAATGTAGATAGTCGACTCCTTATTATAGTTATTGCCCTTTGATGACGACTTTTACAATTTTTTTGCGTAATTATACGACCGCAAAAAAATTGCGTTCATATATTGCTATCATGTCGTCATCAGAAGACATTTGGTTTCCTGACAATAACTTTAGTTTAAGTATATGGATCTCTATGAAATTTAACCAAAAGGTTCAATACCACAAAAGGAAGGTTGGGATTGCTTTTGGGGGTGATGGTCCCGACCGTTTAAGAATTTGGGGCTAAACAGGGGCCCAAAACAAGTATTTTTCTAGTTTCGGGACAATAACTTGTGTATAAGTATTTTGATTGCTCTGAAATTGTACCACAAGGTTCAATACCACAAGTAGAAGGTTTGGATTCATTTTGGGGGTAATTGCCCAAACCTTTCAGGAAAAAGGGGCCAAAACAAGCATTTTTCTAGTTTTTAGACAATAACTTGTGTTTAAGTGTATGGATGTCTCTTAAATTGTACCACATTTTACAAACAGAAAATTTCTTCAAATATTTTTATTTTTGGAGGGGGGTGGGGTAAAAAAAAAAATTTTTTGGGTCAATTTTTTCCATCAAGATTTAAGAAATTATCAATCTTCCAAAAAAAAGATTGGGGGTCACAATTTATTTTGCTAATTCTTTGTGTATAGTCTAAAAACAGATTTAATAAGTATTGCACAACATCAAGAAATCTTCGATTGAATATATATTCAAATCATATAACGGATTTCAAGTTCTTTGACCATGTTGACTACATCTATTCTGTGTCAGAAACCTACAATGTGTCAAATATTTAATTACAATCCAAATTCTGACCTGTATCAAACTTGAATATTGTGTCCATTTTTGCCCCAACTGTTCGGGGTTGGACCTCTGCGATTGTATCAAGCTGCGCTCGGCGAAGCACATTTTTGCCTTATATCTAAAAAATTATAATAGATACATTGTAGATAGATAGAAACTTAAATAAGCAAAATTGATCAGCAAGACAAGATCTACAATAAAGACCTTGAGGAAATTGGAGTTATTGCCCTTTAATGACAATTTTTAATCATAAAAATGATCAGTAAAAATGAGTAATACAAAATCAATAAAACAGAGATTTTTGTCATGAATTCTTTTCTCGTCTACAATGTTGGAGAGTGTCCTTTGTTAAATATGCAGATAGACCAAGGTGAGCGACACAGACTCTTTTGAGCCTTTAGTTTCACAATGTAAATAATAAACTGTTAATGTCTCTTCAGTGAAGTTAGGAATCGAAACGGTATTTGGAAGGCCATATAATTTACCTCAATTTGGGATTGACTCTTGAATTTTGAAGAGTCGAAATAGGATGAACGGATCATATAAACCCGAAGGCAAATATAATACAAGCCCAAACGAAAAAATTGTTGAAATCCGGATATGGTGTACAAATTTTTGCACCTCATGTTTGCGGTATACCATCTTTTCCGCAAGTTAATTGTTTTCTGTTTGGTATTAAATTAATATAATTAAGATCCATTGTGTTACATCTGTGATCCGTTTATTTGGCAATCGCCATGGCAGTCAGCAGGGTTTAAGAACATCCGTTGTTCGACCTGCTAGTCAAATGCGTTTTGTTAAAATATACTTTTTCACTTTTTTGGTCTTTTGGAAAATGTTGTTTGTGCTGTATTTAGACCCCTCTACAAAGAAATTTGTTTTGCATGCACACGTATAAAAGTTGCACTTTTTATCCAACGCAATCATAGGTTTGAACATTGTTTTCAATTTAGACTTGTTTATATTTTTTCGTTTGGGCTTGTATTATATTTGCCTTCGGGTTTATATGATCCGTTCATCCTATTTCGACTCTTCAAAATTCAAGAGTCAATCCCAAATTGAGGTAAATTATATGGCCTTCCAAATACCGTTTCGATTCCTAACATCACTGAAGAGACATTAATTGTCGAAATCCAGATATGGTGTACAAATTTTTGCACCTCATGTTTGCGGTATACCATCTTTTCCGCAAGTTTATTGTTTTCTGTTTGGTATTAAATTAATATAATTAAGATCCATTGTGTTACATCTGTAATCCGTTTATTTGGCAATCGCCATGGCAGTCAGCAGGGTTTAAGAACATCCGTTGTTCGACCTGCTAGTCAAATGCGTTTTGTTAAAATATACTTTTTCACTTTTTTGGTCTTTTGGAAAATGTTGTTTGTGCTGTATTTAGACCCCTCTACAAAGAAATTTGTTTAGCATGCACACATATAAAAGTTGCGGTTTTTATACGACCGCAAAAAAATTTTGTGGTCGTATATTGGTATGACGTTGTCGTCGTCGTCCGAATACACATTGGTTTTCGCACTCTAACTTTAGTTTAAGTAAATGGATCTTTTTGAAATTTGACCATAAGGTTAAATACCACAAAAGGAAGGTTGGGATTGATTTTGGGGGTTATGGTACCAACAGTTAAGGAATTAGGGGCCAAAAAGGGGCCAAAAATTAGCATTTTCTAGTTTCCAGACAATAACTGTGGAACGGTGTATGGATCGCTCTGAAATTATACTACAAGTTTCCATACCACAAAGGGATGGTTATATAGGATTTGCTTTGGGGGGTTATGGCTCAAACCGTTTAGGAATTAGGGGCAAAAAAGGGGGAAAAACAAGGTTGTCCTGGTTAATGGACAAATACTTTAGTACAAAACATAATTTAAAGCAGTGTAAGGGAGATAAATCAAATACATCATTGAAATTATCTCCCTTACACTGCTTTTAAATTATGTATAAAGTAATGGTTAATGAACAATAAAGATAATTTAAAACAGTGTAAGGGAGGTAATCAAAATACAACGTTTTGGTTACTTCCCTTACACTGCTTTTAAATTATGTTTAAAGAAATGCATATTTATAAAGGAAGACCAGTAAAAATATCTGCAAATGTTGCATCTTTTTTTTTTTACAAAAAAATCCATATGAAAGATTTGACACTATATTTTTAATTCTATTATAAAATAGATTAAGTTAGCACTATGGTAAATTTAAATGGGTAATTATGGTTGCCAACTCCATTGGAAATTTGAATTGAGATTATGACCAAATCTTGAGGGAAAGAATTTTTTGGGGGGATAAAAAGAAATTGTGGGGGGTCAATTTTTTCTCATTTCAGATTTCAGAAATTAAAAAAATTATTCTTCAAATATTATTTTTTTTTCAAATTTCAAATATTGAAAAATTTCAAGAAGAAATCTTTAATTGCACAGTATAGCGCATTAAATTTGTTAAATCTTTGATCACATTTATTTATTTGTTATGCCGAATCCAACAGTGTATTTAGATTTTTAATTTTGGGTCCAGTTTTCAAATTTGTCTACATTAAGGTCCAAAGGGTCCAAAATTAAACTTTGTTTGATTTTAGCAAAAATTGAATATATGAGGTTCTTTGATATGTTGAATCTAAACATGTATTTAGATTTTTGATTTTTGGCCCAGTTTTCAAGTTGGTCCAAATTGGGGTCCAAAATTGAACTTTGTTTGATTTCTACAAAAATTAAATATATGGGGTTCCTTGATATGCTGAATCTAACCATGTATTTAGATTTTTTATTTGTGGACCCCGTTATCAAATTGGTTCATATTGAGGTCAAAAGGGTCCAAAATTAAACTTTGTTTGATTTCATCTAAAATTGAATTATTGGGGTTCTTTGATATTCCAAATCTAACCGTGTATTTAGATTTTTAATTTTGGGTCCTGTTTTTGAAATTGGTCTACATTAAGGTCCAAAGGGTCCAAAATTTAACTTAGTTTGATTTTAACAAAAATTGAATTCTTGGGGTTCTTTGATATGCTGAATCTAAACATGTGTTTAGATTTTTGATTATGGGCCCAGTTTTCAAGTTGGTCCAAGATAGGGTCCAGTATTTTAACTTTGTTTGATTTCAACAAAAATTGAATATATGGGGTTCTTTGATATCCTGAATCTAAACATGTATTTAGATTTTTGATTATGGGCCCAGTTTTCAAGTTGGTCCAAATTGGGGTCCAAAATTAAACTTTGTTTGATTTCAACAAAAATTGAATATATGAGGTTCTTTGATATGCTGAATCTAACCATGTATTTAGATTTTTTATTTGTAGGCCCCGTTATCAAATTGGTTCATATTGAGGTCAAAAGGGTCCAAAATTAAACTTTGTTTGATTTTATCAAAAATTGAATTCTTGGGGTTCTTTGATATGCCATATCTAACCGTGTTTTTAGATTTTTAATTTTGGTCCCGTTTTTTAAATTGGTCTTCATTGAGGTCCAAAGGGTCCAAAATTAAACTTAGTTTGATTTTAACAAAAATTGAATTCTTGGGGTTCTTTGATATGCTGAATCTAAACATGTGTCTAGATTTTTTATTATGGGCCCAGTTTTCAAGTTGGTCCAAGTTGGGGTCTAAAATTAAACTTTTTTTGATTTCAACAAAAATTGAATATATGGGGTTCTTTGATATGCTGAATCTAACCATGAATTTAGATTTTTTATTTGTGGGCCCCGCTATCAAGTTGGTTCATATTGAGGTCAAAAGGGTCCAAAATTAAACTTTGTTTGATTTCATCAAAAATTGAATTATTGGGTTCTTTGATATTCCAAATCTAACCGTGTATTTAGATTTTTAATTTTAAGTCCCGTTTTTTAAATTGGTCTACATTAAGGTCCAAAGGGTCCAAAATTAAACTTAGTTTGATTTTAGCAAAAATTGAGTTCTTAGGGTTATTTGATATGCTGAATCTAAACATGTGTTTAGATTTTTGATTATGGGCCCAGTTTTCAAGTTTGTCCAAGTTGGGGTCCAAAATTAAACTTTGTTTGATTTTAACAAAAATTGAATATATGGGGTTCTTTGATATGCTGAATCTAACCATGTATTTTGATTTTGGACATTGGACCATAATAGGTAAATTAAAAAAATTCAAGTTCTTAGACCACATTCTTTCTGTGTCAGAAACCTATGCTGTGTCAAATATTTAATCACAATCCAATTTCAGAGCTGTATCAAGCTTGAATGTTGTGTCCATACTTGCCCCAACTGTTCAGGGTTCGACCTCTGCGGTCGTATCAAGCTGCGCCCCAGCGAAGCATTTTATTATCCAACGCAATCATAGGTTTGAACGTTGTTTTCAATTTAGACTTGCATATATATATATATATACTGTCTTAATACATGTAATATTCATGGTTTTGTATCAGAATATTTGTCTTTTCATGTACATGTAGACTTCCAACATACATCTTTTAGAATAATCTCTCATGGGACAAAGAAAGAGAATCAACATACACAAATTAGAAATAAAAAACGACTTATATGGCCATATGGTAATTTCAAGTTTGTTATACTGTGTTTTCAGGGTGCTAAGTCATAGATCATGTAGATGCATACTTTGCATACCTCTTTTTTAATTCAAACTTACAAACACAAAAACTACTAGTATGTAAATTACCGAAATAGAATGATTCTGAACAAAAATTAAATCATAACTGATCCTTTAAAAGCTTTTTTCTAGTATCCCCCTTGTTACATGTATGTATGTATGTTTTCTATATTTTGTATATACTTCAATTGTATTTCCTCACATTATGTAGTAACTCATAGCCCTGGGTTTCCTCAGCTTGTCATAATGCACAAAGTAAGAAGTTAGAAATCTATTACAGCTCTTCTATAAAAGCATTCAAAGCAAACCTTTGATCAACTTGCTTGCTATGTTTGCTTGAATGTTTGCAAACAATAGGTAGGCGGAGTTTCAGTCTGTTTTATATATACTGGGATTTGATTGGACAATAAAAATTGACATGCAATGAAGTTAATGTTTATTGTCCAATCACATTCCATTATATAGCAAACAGACTGAAACAGACTACCTACCTTTTGTTTACAAACATCCAAACAAACATAGCAAGCAAGTTGATCAAAGGTTTGCTTTGCATGCTTTTATAAAAGAGCTGTAACAATAATAAATAAAATGTTTATCTCAAGAACAACACTTGAAGTAAAAACTAAAATAAACCTTTTCTTCAGATTTTAACACATGACCATGTGCAGTCTTATTTGCTTCCTGGTATACAGTGATTTTCATAAAATACAAACTTGAAAAATCAACAATTTTTAATTATAATTGTACATGACAGGATTCAAGATGGACAAATATGAGAAGAGTTAAGTAGTCTGCCATTATAGAGAAAAAAACTTTTTTTTAAAAAGAAAGATCAAAAGATTAAAAGATATTTCATCTTTTAACAGGAAGAATTATTTATTCATGACATAAAATCCTTACAGACACTTCACAAAAACGAACAACGGTTATTTTATTATTTAAATCAAAACATAGAGATGAGAGGTTACTGATTAAAAGAACAAAACAAATGTTTACAATGCATATTATTTTGTACATAAATCAGGTCGTTCGCTTCTTGTTTGAAATGTAATACATTTGTTATTTCTGGGCCTTTTATAGCTGACTATACAGTATGGATTTTACTCATTGTTGAAGGCCGTACGGTGACCTATAGTTGTTAATTTCTGTCTCATTGGCAATCATATCACATCTTCTAATTTTAATGTATGAAAGAAAACGAAACCAACATTTCTATTTTTAAACATATTTCGAATGTGTGAAGTCATCAATTTGTCTTCAAATATTATTACCAGATTTTTTATTCTTCCATGTCAATTTATATCATATTCTTATTTCAGAAATGTAAATTCTTCTTTCTATACATGTAGATGTAAAACAAAAAGAGAATATTCCAGCATAGAAAGCATTATAATTAGAAAAAAAAATCTTAGATTGTGAGATAAATCTTACGTATGCCTTGATTTATGTTTTCTGGATACCAGTTTATTAATAAATCTTTTTTGGGGACAAAATACATTTAAGAATTTGCTTTTTTAGCTCACCTGGCCCAAAGGGTCAAGTTAACTTTTCTCATCACTTGGCGTCCGTTGTCGTCTGTCAACTTTTACAAAAATCTCCTCTGAAACTATTCGGCCAAATTAAACCAAATTAGGCCACAATCATCATTGGGGTATCTAGTTCAAAAAATGTATCTGATGACCCCCGCCTGCCAACCAAGATGGCTAAAAATAGTTTTGTCTATTATTTTGAAAACCTTTATATATATAAATAGAGAAAATCTGTCTATTATCTTGAAAACCCATAATAGGAAGAAAGAGAAACTTAAAATTGCAAAAGTGATCAGCAAGACAAGTTCTACTAATAAGTCCATGATTGAAATCGTCAGTCGACTCCTTATTCATGTTATTAAGAGTTATTGCCATTATCATGATTATATGAGGATTTTGTTTACCCTCTTTTGTGTTTTGAGCAAAAAGTAAAGAAGATAGAGAGAAACTAAACAGACTTAATGATCAGCAATACAAGATCAGCAAAACAGATTTTTGTCATGAATTCTTTTCTCGTCTACAATGTTGGAAAGTGTCCTTTGTTTAATATGTACACAGACCAAGGTCAGCGACACCGGATCTTTAGAGCCTCTGGTTTTTCAGGACGTCATTGGAATCACACATATATATTTATTTGGCTAATTTACACATCTTCTTCAGATTTTAGTGTTGAAAAGATATGTCAGTCATGAATTCATTAAGTGAAACATTTTAGCTAATAAAGTCCACATGAGTTTGAGTAAAAATGTTGATAGATGCATGTTCAATACAATTACAATCGGTATTCAACATTACATTTACAGGGTCACACATTGGGTGCAGCAATGACTGGTGGCATGTCTGGTGGAAATGGTGGTGAAGTCCAGCAAGCTCCCCCAGCACAACAAGGATACCAGGAACCAGCTTACCAGCAACAACAACAGCAGCCATGTCAGTTTGAGCTCAAACAGTTCATTGAATGTACCCAGACACAGAATGACATATCAATGTGCTCAGGATTTAATGAAGTTCTACGAGAGTGCAAGCTTAGATATGGTTAGTAACTAAAAATGATTTTTATAATTCCAAAGTCGATATCTTTATTTATTTTGAAAAAATAGGCATAGTTCATGCACACAAATGGATTCAGTTGAAGATGGCCCCTGCTGGTGTACATGAGTGTTTCACTATATATATATATAGCTACCAAACATTGTGATCATAGGAGATAACACTGATTTACATCATTGTCATGAAATTCATGTAGCTATATAATATACAAAGAGCTAGAGGTTGTCCTTTGGATGTCTTTTTGCTATAATTGTTGGGGTTTTATACGCCCGTTTACGGGACGTATTATGGCATACCGTTGTCCATCTGTCTGTCCGTCGTCAACATGTCGGACATTAACTCCAAAATGCTTTAACCAATTTGCATAAAACTTTGGTGAATTGTTTATATCTATTGACGTGAGCACCCTTTCGTTTTTTATAAAATTTAGATTTTACGTTTCTGAGTTATGGGGTTTTATTCATTAAAAAAAGGGGGATTTTCCAGTTTTCGGACAATAAGTCAAGAATGCTTTCACCAACTTGCAAGAAATTGTGGTGAATTGTTTATATCTATTGACATGAGCTCCCTTTCGATTTTTATAAATTTTAGATTTTATGTTTCTGAGTTATGGGGTTTTATTCATTAAAAAAAGGGGGATTTTCCAGTTTTCGGACAATAAGTCAAGAATGCTTTCACCAACTTGCAAGAAATTGTGGTGAATTGTTTATATCTATTGGCATGAGCTCCCTTTCGATTTTTATAAATTTTAGATTTTACGTTTCCGAGTTACAGGGTTTTATTCATAAAAAAAGGGGGGATTTTCCAGTTTTCAGACAAAAAATCAAAAATGCTTCCAGCAATTCTTATGAAACTTTGGTGAATTGTTTGTATGTATTGATGTAAGCTCCCTTTAGAATTTTATAAATTTTACGTTTTACATTTTTGAGTTATGGGGTTTTATTCATTAAAAAAGGGGTGATTTTCCAGTTTTCGGACAATAACTCAAAAATGCTGTCACCAATTCTCATGAAACGTTGGTGAATTGTTTATATCTATTGATGTAAGCTCCCTTTTTATTTTCATAAATCTCTAATATGACATTGAGAATTTATTGAACTTTATTTGTTTATAGTCTGACAACAGATTTACTAAGTATTGCACAACAGCAAGAAATCTTTAATTGAATATAAATTCAATTCATATAACCAATTTCAAGTTCTTTGACCTCATTTATTCAGAAACCTATAATATGTCAAATATTTAACTACAATCCAAATTCAGACCTGAATCAAGCTTGAATATTGTGTCCATTTTTGCCCCAACTGTTCAGGGTTGGACCTCTGCGGGCGTATCTAGCTGCGCTCAGCGAGGCAGTTTATTGTCTCAATGATATGTACCCCACCTTTCCTTTTATTAGAAAAACAGATATTTTTCCTATGAATAGCATGTTCAGTTTTTATTATACGACCGCAAAAAAATTTTGTGGTCGTATATTGGTATGACGTTGGCGTCGTCGTCGTCGTCCGGCGTCGTCGTCCGAATACACATTGGTTTTCGCACTCTAACTTTAGTTTAAGTGAATGGATCTTTTTGAAATTTGACCATAAGGTTAAATATCACAAAAGGAAGGTTGGGATTGATTTTGGGGGTTATGGTACCAACAGTTAAGGAATTAGGGGCCAAAAATAAGCATTTTCTAGTTTCCAGACAATAACTATGGAACGGTGTATGGATCTCTCTGAAATTATACTACAAGTTTCCATACCACAAAGGGATGGTTAGGATTTGCTTTGGGGGGTTATGGCTCAAACCGTTTAGGAATTAGGGGCAAAAAAGGGGGAAAAACAAGGTTGTCCTGGTTAATGGACAAATACTTTAGTACAAAACATAATTTAAAGCAGTGTAAGGGAGATAAATCAAATACATCATTGAAATTATCTCCCTTACACTGCTTTTAAATTATGCATAAAGTAATGGTTAATGAACAATAAAGATAAATTAAAACAGTGTAAGGGAGGTAATCCAAATACAACGTTTTGGTTACTTCCCTTACACTGCTTTTAAATTATGTTTAAAGAAATGCATATTTATAAAGGAAGACCAGTAAAAATATCTGCAAATGTTGCATCTTTTTTTTTACAAAAAAATCCATATGAAAGATTTGACACTATATTTTTAATTCTATTATAAAATAGATTAAGTTAGCACTATGGTAAATTTAAATGGGTAATTATGGTTGCCAACTCCATTGGAAATTTGAATTGAGATTTTGACCATATCTTGAGGAAAAGAATTTTTTGGGGGAAAAAATTGGGGGGGGGGGGGGGGATAAAAAGAAATTGTGGGGGGTCAATTTTTTCTCGTTTCAGATTTCAGAAATTAAAAAGAATTATTCTTCAAATATTATTTTTTTTTCAAATTTCAAATATTGAAAAATTTCAAGAAGTAATCTTTAATTGCACAGTATGGCGCATTAGATTTGTAAAATCTTTGATCACATTTATTTATTTGTTATGCCGAATCTAACAGTGTATTTAGATTTTTAATTTTGGGTCCCGTTTTCAAATTGGTCTACATTAAGGTCCAAAGGGTCCAAAATTAAACTTTGTTTGATTTTAGCTAAAATTGAATATATGGGGTTCTTTGATATGCTGAATCTAAACATGTATTTAGATTTTTGATTTTTGGCCCAGTTTTCAAGTTGGTCCAAATTGGGGTCCAAAATTAAACTTTGTTTGATTTCAACAAAAATTGAATATATGGGGTTCTTTGATATGCTGAATCTAACCATGTATTTAGATTTTTTATTTGTGGACCCCGTTATCAAATTGGTTCATATTGAGGTCAAAAGGGTCCAAAATTAAACTTTGTTTGATTTCATCTAAAATTGAATTATTAGGGTTCTTTGATATTCCAAATCTAACCATGTATTTAGATTTTTTAATTTTGGGTCCTGTTTTTTAAATTGGTCTACATTAAGGTCCAAAGGGTCCAAAATTAAACTTAGTTTGATTTTAACAAAAATTGAATTCTTGGGGTTCTTTGATATGCTGAATCTAAACATGTGTTTAGATTTTTGATTATGGGCCCAGTTTTCAAGTTGGTCCAAGATAGGGTCCAGTACTTAAACTTTGTTTGATTTCAACAAAAATTGAATATATGGGGTTCTTTGATATGCTGAATCTAAACATGTATTTAGATTTTTGATTATGGGCCCAGTTTTCAAGTTGGTCCAAATTGGGGTCCAAAATTAAACTTTGTTTGATTTCATCAAAAATTGAATTATTGGGGTTCTTTGATATGCCAAATCTAACCGTGTTTTTATACGACCGCAAAAAAAATTTTGTGGTCGTATATTGGTATGACGTTGGCGTCGTCGTCGTCGTCCGAATACACATTAGTTTTCGCACTCTAACTTTAGTTTAAGTGAATGGATCTCATTGAAATTTGACCATAAGGTTCAATACCACAAAAGGAAGGTGGGGATTGATTTTGGGGGTTATGGTACTAACAGTTAAGGAATTAGGGGCCAAAAGGGGCCAAAAATAAGCATTTTTGTAACTTCCAGACATAACTTGTGTGTAAGTGTATGGATCTCTCTGACATTGTACCACAAGGTTCCATATCACAAAGGGAATGCTGGGATTGATTTTGGGGGTAATTGTCTCCAAATTTTAGGAATTAGGGGCCAAAAAGGGGCAAAAAACAAGCATTTTTCTAGTTTCATGACAATAACTTGTTTGTAAGTGTATGGATCTTTATGAAATTGTACTACAAGGTTCCATATCACAAAGGGAATACTGGGATTGATTTTTGGGGTAATTTCCTCCAAATATTAGGAATTAGGGGCCAAAAAGGGGCAAAAAACAAGCATTTTTCTAGTTTCATGACAATAACTTGTTTGTAAGTGTATGGATCTTTATGAAATTGTACTACAAGGTTCCATATCACAAAGGGAAGGCTGGGATTGATTTTGGGGGTTTTCCCTCAAAATTTTAGTAATTAGGGGCCATAAAAGGGCAAAAAAAACATGCATTTTTCTAGTTTCAGGACAATAACTTGTGTGTAAGTGTATGGATCTTTATGAAATTGTACTGCAAGGTTCCATATCACAAAGGGAAAGCTGGAATTGAGTTTGGGGGTAATTGCCCTAAACGTTTAGGAATTTGGGGCCAAAAAGGGGCCAAAAAACAAGCATTTTTCTAGTTTCCAGACAATAACTTGTGTTCAAGTGTATGAATCTCTCTGAAATTGTACTGCAAGGTACCATACCACAAAGGGAAAGCTGGGATTGAGTTTGGGGGCGATGAATCATAAGGGGGTTCAAAAAATTGGGGGGGGGGATTTTTTTTTTCCTTTTTTTTCTTTATCATTTTCCATTTTAAATTGGTTATTTCTGATTTATATATAAAAGCAAATAATAATGATATGGTTTGAATAGGCATACATGTGAACCTCCCGACGGGAGTACAATAATCCCGTTTTCAGGGGTCTCCTCCCCCCTCCCGTTGAAAAAATCCCGTGTATGAAATTTTTCATGAATGAAAAATTTCTGCCCAACAGAACATCTCAGGCATCTGGTGTAACTGACATTACCTGAAGTTATATTTTACCTGTAAATCAATTAACATGCATAATTATATGGCTTCACTTGTCAGCTTGGGTGTCAAACATACTGGTAAGCAACGATTTTTACCTCAGGCTAACTGCCGTTGTGTAACAAAAACTGTGTATTTATTGGGTTACTTCCCTTGATTTATCCTGTTTTAAGTTACTTTCCTTTTAATAATGAAAATTTTTAAAAGAATATAAATAAAATATAAATTGAACAAATAATCATAAAAGGATGGTTATTAAATGATTTTAAATGTCTTAGGACAAATAAAAAAATAATAATTTGAAAATTATTTGAGGATTCTATACTTCCTTTTAAGGCTTAAATTGAAATTTATATAATAACTATGACCCTATCTTTACAGATAGAATGAATTTCTGAGTTTGCAAATAAAAACTATTTGCAAGAGAAAAAAAAAAAAATAATAACTATTTGCAGACAGCTAAACAAATGTTCTGGTTGCAATGATTGTTTTATAGAATATGAAGTAAAAAATTTAAAGAACATACTGGAAAAAAAAATGTTAGATTGAACATGTAGAATATAAAGATGGAGAAACTTTATAAGTACAAGGGTACTATAAACATAATAAATTGGTTGGAAAGTTGAAGAAAACACACTTTAAAAGACCATTTTTACAGCACACGGTTACATTTACAACAAAATTAATGTCGATTAAAAACCTCCTGATCTGAGTCCTAATCTCCTGACCAAAATTTCCCAATCTCCTGATCTGAGTTTCACAGTCCATCACATGTATGAATAGGTAAATTGAAAATTTTTAAGTTCTTAGACCACTTTCATTCTGTGTCAGAAACCTATGCTGTGTCAAATATTTAATTACAATCCAAATTCAGTGCTGTATCAAGCTTGAATGTTGTGTCCATACTTGCCCCAACTGTTCAGGGTTCGACCTCTGCGGTCGTATCAAGCTGCGCCCCAGCGGAGCATTTTATTAGATTTTTAATTTGGGTCCCGTTTTTTTTAAATTGGTCTTCAATGAGGTCCAAAGGGTCCAAAATTAAACTTAGTTTGATTTTAACAAAAATTGAATTCTTGGGGTTCTTTGATATGCCGAATCTAAACATGTGTTTAGATTTTTGATTATGGGCCCAGTTTTCAAGTTGGACCAAGTTGGGGTCCAAAATTAAACTTTTTTTTATTTCAACAAAAATTGAATATATGGGGTTCTTTGATATGCTGAATCTAACCATGAATTTAGATTTTTTATTTGTGGGCCCCGCTATCAAATTGGTTCATATTGAGGTCAAAAGGGTCCAAAATTAAACTTTGTTTGATTTCATCAAAAATTGAATTATTGGGGTTCTTTGATATTCCAAATCTTACCGTGTATTTAGATTTTTAATTTTAAGTCCCGTTTTTTAAATTGGTCTACATTAAGGTCCAAAGGGTCGAAAATTAAACATAGTTTGATTTTAGCAAAAATTGAATTCTTGGGGTTCTTTCATATGCTGAATCTAAACATGTGTTTAGATTTTTGATTATGGGCCAAGTTTTCAAGTTTGTCCAAGTTGGGGTCCAAAATTAAACTTTGTTTGATTTTAACAAAAATTGAATATATGGGGTTCTTTGATATGCTGAATCTAACCATGTATTTTGAATTTGGACATTGGACCATAATAGGTAAATTAAAAAAATTCAAGTTCTTAGACCACATTCTTTCTGTGTCAGAAACCTATGCTTTGTCAAATATTTAATAACAATCCAAATTCAGAGCTGTATCAAGCTTGAATGTTGTGTCCATACTTGCCCCAACTGTTCAGGGTTCGACCTCTGCGTTCGTATCAAGCTGCGCCCCAGCGAAGCATTTTATTTTAAAAGTTTTTTAAACACTGATTGACAGTTAATGAGCACAGATGACTTTATTAATTTGGACTATGTAGTTCAGATATTACTACCTTTTTCATACATTTGTTCCATAAATGTATGCATACAAAAGAATGTCAGTATTCATCTATTTATAGAACTCTTATAATGGTAAAGAAAGGATATGTTGTATTCAATCAATCAAAAAAGCAGTGCTTTTCTTGCTGTCCCTAGTTTCAAAATCACAACATGGAGCAATAATTCTCATATCAATGCAAGTTTGAGGCAAACCTTAGCATCAGTTTGAATATTTGAGTGGAATTCTTCACTTGATGTTGATCACACAACAAATGCACATTAATGGTTGAAAGATCATTACGAGAGCCTAGCAAAACTTATCAACATTACAAAAAAGTCATTATCTTGATTTACTTTAAAATGACACATTCTGGAAATATATATATGAAATTACCAGAATTAACTCCCTTTGTTCATTTCAATGGCATTTGTTTTCTTTATAATTTCAGGTCCACAGTATTGAAGATAGTGGCTTGATCTCAGCATTGATATGGCGACAGAAGACTAGAAATTATGATCAGACTTTTTTGTATTAGTGTGTGCATTTTATTGTTTAATTTTTAAAACCGTTCCTTAAGCAGATTTTAAACCATCATGATTTCTATTTTAAAAAAAAATCATCATCATTCCAAAAAATAGACACAATTGCTATAGTAAAATATTAAGTCTTCAATTAGGTACTTTACCTGTCAAGATCAGATTGCAGCTCCTTGTTATCAGCTGTTGAAATAAAACTTTAATTCATGGGACTTGTTTTGTTATTTCAGGGTGCATACTAATGATATTAATTAGTTTTATGTATGGGTTTGCAAGTAATATATATATATATTAGACATTTGTCAAAGGGTCATTTTTGTCCCCGTCGCAATGCGTTGCAGGGGACATAGAAATACCGGGCGTTCTTCCGTCCATTCTTGTTAGCGCTCTCACATGTACAATTCTTGCTTGATTTTTATGAAACTTATATCATATCAGCAATGTCTTGGACAAGTTCGAAAATCAATTCCGATCAATTATTTTTAAAAGAGTTATGCCCCTTGGAAACAATAATTATATGGGTAATTGGATCGTTAGTGCTCTCATGTGTACAATTCTTGTCAGATTTTTATGAAACTTATATCAAAGGACTATATTAGCAATGTCTTTGACGAGTTCGAAATCAGTGCTGATCAATTATTTTGAAAAGAGTTATGCCCCTTGGAAACATAAATTATATGGAAAATTGCATTGTTAGCGCTCTCATGTGTATAATTCTTGCCAGATTTTGATGAAACATATATCATAGGTTTATATTAGCAATGTCTTTGACGAATTTGAAAATCAGTGCCAATCAATTATTTTGAAAAGAGTTATGCCCCTTGGAAATATTGATTTATATGGAAAATTGCATTGTTAGCACTCTCGTGTACAATTCTTGCCAGATTTTTATGAAATTTATATTATAGGTTTATATCATCAATGTCTCGGACAAATTCGAAAATCAGTGCTGATCAATTTTTATGCCCCTGCCGCTACTGTGGGGGCATTAAGTTTTACCCTTGTCCGTCCATACGCTCGTCCGTCCGTACATCCCAAAGCTGGTTTCCGTTCTCTAACTTTAGTCTGCCTCAACCAAATGTTATGAATCTTATACACAATGCTTATTACCACAAAACACAGATCAAGTTTGAATTTTGGTGGTGTCACGTTATCCGTTCTAGAGTTCTGCCCCTTTGCAAATGGAAAAATTGCTGAATTTTTGGTTTCCGTTCTCTAACTTTAGTTTGCCTCAACCAAATGTTATGAAACTTATACACAATACATATTACCACAAAACTCAGATCAAGTACAAATTTGATTAACATTACTTTTACTGTTCTTCAGTTATGTTCCTTTATAACTTTGTATGATATGCAAGTGGGGGTATCATCTGTGTCCCATGGACACATTCCCCATTTATTATTAAAAGTGTTATGTCCCTTGGATATATATTGATTATATGGAAAATTGCATTGTTAGCGCTCTAGTGTGTACAATTGTGGAAATATTAATTATAATGGAAATTGCATTGTATATCCTCTGAAGCCTTCATTTCTCTTAGATATTTATGAAAAGTTTCAAAGAACAAAAAAAAATTGTAATTGCCCTTGTAAATAATTCTACTCAAGCCGGTGCTAGGGGCCATATTAAACCGGCAGTGAGGTGAGAGTTTTTTTTGCTCCCGGCTGAAGGCCTTGCTATGACTTTGAGATGAAGAACAGCAATAAAAGCACTATTCCTTTGCTTTTGTGTGTTTATTGCGTTGCATGTACTGATTTTGTGTCATGGATGGATACCCCATATCCTGTTTTTCTATTACATAGAAAAATGTCCCTTTCCAAGCAATCTCGGTCGTTTTCTTTGCTTAGTTAAATTTGACGACATCCCTTAAGGGTCATGTTCAAAACTTCCCCTAAAAGTTAAAGGTTTTTGTGAGGTTCATAAAATATTGTTAACTGCAAAATATTTCCAATTTTAGCCCACAATGGAAACTTTTTTTTAAGTGCAACAGTGTCCTTCAAAATGGGTTTCTAATTAAAAATTTGTATAAAAGGTCATCGATCTCAACCACATGTGTTGACAGGCTAGTGACACAGTAGATCAGCTATGTAGACCACTCTACCACTGAGGCCCTAAATTTAAGAAAATATGTCTCGATTACCATGATTTATTGTCACATACAGTTATAGAAGATCAAAACTGATATTGAGGTCACTGCATCTAATGTCAAGGTTAAAGTTAACAAAAATAACTAAAATTAGTACAGGAATGGAGTTTTAGGATTATAATTCTAGAACTATAAATGGGATTGGAACCAAAAATGAATATATACATTGTAGTCACATATAATGAGTGGACGGTCCCTTTTCATTATGAGATCAAACTGCTGAAGGTCATAGTTTTTATGAAACTAATGAAAAGAAAACCTCAAGAAACTTACATTTGATTGAAACCAAACTTGTATATATATTTTCACATAAAATGAAAGGAAGATCCTCATTTATTATGAGGTCAAAGTAACGAAAATAGAATATAATAAGTGCGTTCATATATTTTCACATCAATTGAGAATAAGATCCCTTTTGCCTTTGAGAGCATTGCTTCAAATTAAAGGTGAAGGTTATGTTACTAAAAGAAGATTGAAATAATTCAGAGTAACAGAAATGGTACCAATTTTTCTGCACCAGATATGCGTTTTGACAATAAATGTCTCTCCAGTTATTCTCGAGGCCAAAATATTTGAAAATCCAAAACTTATTTTTAAAAAATGAAGAGCTTATGAAGTAAAAAGGACAAAAAGTATAGCCAAAACCGGGGGAAGGAGTCAGCTTAACATGAGGGAGATATATTCCTTTATTTAGAATAATTTCCAAACTTTTGAAACAGCAGAGAGGTTTGCAGACAATAATCCAGAAACCTTACATTGTATTGGAACCAAACTTGGTGTATAGTCCCATTTATTCTGAGGTCATAGTTACTGAGATAAGTGTGGAAAACGGGTTTCCTGATAACCATAGAACCCTTCATTGGATTGTTACTAAACATGCATACATTATCACATAAAATGAAAGGACGATCCCTATCAATTCTCAGATCAATATGTCGAATTCATAGTTGAAATAACCGCATCGGTGGTCTCGTGGTAGTGTGTTCGCCTTGAGTGCGGGAGGTCGTGGGTTGGAACACCAGGCGGGTCAATATAAAGACTTTAAATTTGGTAATTGCTGCTTCTCCGCTAAGTACTCGGCATTAAGGAATAAGAGCAGAGACTGGTCGGCTTTGATTCAGAACCTGCGGACTGTTACCTTGTGAACTAGTATGTTTAAAATCCGGCTCAGCGTGTCGGTTTAGTATAAAGCAGGGTAAATATTCATATTATTAATATGTTCTCGTTCTGAATATGCATATTAATTTGCCGCTGGACGTAAAGCATCCATCCATCATCATCATCATAGTTGAAATAAGAGCAGAAAAAAAAGGTTTTGCGTATTGTTATGCGTTTACTTTTCTACATTGGCTAGAGGTATAGGGGGAGGGTTGAGATCTCATAAACATGTTTAACCCCGCCGCATTTTTGCGCCTGTCCCAAGTCAGGAGCCTCTAGCCTTTGTTAGTCTTGTATTATTTTTAATTTTAGTTTCTTGTGTACAATTTGGAGTTTAGTATGGCGTTCATTATCACTGAACTAGTATATATATTTGTTTAGGGGCCAGCTGAAGGACGCCTCCGGGTGCGGGAATTTCTCGCTGCATTGAAGACCTGTTGGTGACCTTCTGCTGTTGTCTGTTCTATGGTCGGGTTGTTGTCTCTTTGACACATTCCCCATTTCCATTCTCAATTTTATTCCCTATTACTCATTGACCTTAAATTGGATGAGTAGCAAATTTGGATAACATTAGAGGAAGACTACATTTATTCAGAAATTATGCATCAAGGTCGTAAGTTTGAATAATGAACCAAAACAAATGCAGAAAGGGGGTTTCCCGATAATGACCCCAGGCCTGCACATATGGTTGCAACAAAACATGGGAACTAATAATGGACTGCAGATCTCTATTATAAAGTAAAATACGTCCAAGGTCAAAATCACAGTTACTATAAATGGATTTATGAACAATAGGGATATTCCCATTTACAGAGATAGACAGTTTTTACGCCACATTGAAGTTGAAAATAACACCGCTTATTAACATCCCAAACTCATAATATTATAGTATGAACTGAATCATGTTTAAATTTGAAAAGGTCACACATTGCTTTAGAAAAGTGGTTACATGTATGTTGAAAAAACCGGAAAAAAATTGGGAAGATGGGTAAGTTGCAAACATACAATAATTTATGTCAAAACAGACATTTATTGGCAATTTTAGCATGCCATTATAAAACGCCACACATAAACTGAAGATAAGCAACCCGAATCAGCAAAAGCTTGGGATTTCGCTTCTCCAGAAGGGTACCCTATCTACTCCAATAGTTACAACCTTCGTGTTGCTCATGACGAGAAAAAAATTAAATGATTAATGATAATGATGAACCGAAACAAATGCAGAAAGAGGGTTTCCCGATAATGACCCCAGGCCTGCACATATGGTTGCAACAAAACATGGGAACTAATAATGGACTGCAGATCTCTATTATAAAGTAAAATACGTCCAAGGTCAAAATCACAGTTACTATAAATGGATTTATGAACAATAGGGATATTCCCATTTACAGAGATAGACAGTTTTTACGCCACATTGAAGTTGAAAATAACACCGCTTATTAACATCCCAAACTCATAATATTATAGTATGAACTGAATCATGTTTAAATTTGAAAAGGTCACACATTGCTTTAGAAAAGTGATTACATGTATGTTGAAAAAACGGAAAAAAATTAGGAAGATGGGTAAATTGCAAACATACAATATTGTATGTCAAAACAGACATGTATTGGCAATTTTAGCATGCCATTATAAAACGCCACACATAAACTGAAGATAAGCAACCCGAATCAGCAAAAGCTTGGGATTTCGCTTCTCCAGAAGGGTACCCTATCTACTCCAATAGTTACAACCTTCGTGTTGCTCATGACGAGAAATATTAAATGATCAATGATAATCGCATTTGTTTATAATAACCGATAGGTGGCCCGAGAACACAGTTATTTCGTAGTGCATTTCTTTTAGACAATAAAGTCAAATTAAAAAATCGCACCTGCTCTATCTCAAAAAGATTTTTACAGTGTA